TAAGCGAATCGCACCCCTTTTGTCTGCAATATAGTATTTACGAATGAAACATGAGATATATTATATATATAGCAACATTCGTGAATCGAACGTCTGTACTTATTACCGCAATCGTAAAGAATTCAAGCTGTGATTTCTACGGAACAAAACGGCGAGGGAAAACTTTCGACGTATGCTCACATTAATTAAATTTCGCTCTTCCTATTTTACGGCGGATGCAACTCGATCCTCGGTCGTCTCGTGTTAAATCTCGCTCGTAAAAACACGAAGCCCCTCGCAGTTCTTTCTCTCTTTTCTCCGTTTTCTTTTTCCTACGTTGATTGTAATTAAAACATAATTAGAGTATGCAAGCCCTGTACTCCATCTCGTTCGTGACGAAGATACGATGCAATGATGAACGAGGGAGTGCTTCTAAAACGAGTACAGGGATCGTAAAAAAATGATGAAGCATAAATGAGGTCAGATTGCGAAAACGAGACTCGTAAAAATGTTACGAAGATCGAGAGACTTTTACGGGAATAATTGAAATGTAATCGCCAATTTCAGCAATTTGTATCCAATTGATTGTCGAATTATCGAGTAATGTATTTTTGTTGTGTATTTCGTACACCGAGATACCAAATATACGAGAATTAAAGTAATTTATTTCTTTCTGCCGCATTACATCGATGTGTGCGGCGATAAGCGCGGTGTAATAACTAAAATACATAAGCAAGATACACGGCGAGCGTTCATTAAACATTTTGCCGTAGCAAAAATAGCGAGCACGATATTTAAACGAATACAACCGGTAACATAACGCCGCCGCGCTGATGTGTGCCGTGAGATAAAATGCCTCGAAGGTTGAAATGTAGACATGAATTAAGACATGGAACATAACATTAAGATTCATGTCTCGCTTATTTATTATACGCGTAATTTTAGCACGAAGGGCATAAATCTTCGCCAGAGGCTGGATTTTCGCGGGTCGTCTGTAATTTTCAAAAACATCCGATCCATGCAGATTCTTCGAGTTCTGTTCTCTCGCGCTAAGTAATATAAAGCCTCGGAAAATGGAGCGCGAGGACAATATCGCGTTTGTTACGGAACGGCAAAACGTTGCTGCAAATTTATCTTCCGATCGCGCGCGATATTTCGAAAGCACGTAATGCGATAAAATGGCGCCAAGGAGACAAAGAGGGGCAGAGAGAGAAAATAGAAAATATAAATCTCGACGTTGCGATTTCATTTAACTTCCATAGTCGACTCGTCTTGATGTACCAGATTCTCGTCCTGGCGCGGCTGTACAGCTTCATAGAATTCGTTTATCCCCTGTTTAACTCATCGACACGATGCGACGCGATGCCGCGCGATTGTTTTTATTCGCCAAGCAGAAAATGCGAAAACGAAACATTTGCAAATGCGAATATTTATCCGCATTAATAGTATCCTGCAGTGCGTTCGATGCACCTCGGTCGCTTTTGCAAAAATCTCATTAGCAAGTTTATTGATTCATTTGAGCATAAATCTATAAATGTAAATTTTTTTTAACGCTTCATTTTGTCATTCATTTCAAATCTGTCAAAGACGAACTTTTTCCGTTGAGGAGTCAAGGAATTTTATTCAAATTTTGCTGTTATTGCTAAAAGTTGGAGCATTGAGGATAAAATACATTCGCTGCCGACGTCCAATTTTATTAAAATTACAAGTGTATTTAACATTTGATTAGCTAAGGAAGTGCAGTTATTTCTCACTATTTCAGCCGCGTAATCGAACATTTCATTCACAATTGTTTCTGGGACGCTGCCGATTGCCATTTTACTGAAGCAGAGAATATTTTTCGCTGCAGCGCCTAAATTTTAGCAGATAACGAATTGACCTTTGGCAGTAACGACATTAGCTGTCCCTATTGTAAGGACACATTTTAACTGTCACAGCTATATTTTTAGCCGCGTTGGCTAATCTTTTCTCTGCGTGTCTAAAAAAGTAGATAGAAAAATTAATCATTCAAATCTGTTTAAAGGAATCTTTTGGTCCTTTGTGATATTTGCGGTAAATTCCAAGAGCCAAGTATTAAAATTAGCGACTGTGATAAACTAAAATGTTGTACGACTCAAGTTCTAGAATTGCTAGAATGGTATTATATTTTATTTGATAAACCTCCTATCTCTCTACCAAGACAATCGGCACGTGAAACACGACGTCTCGATTACCGTGCTGAAAATCTTTTTCTATCCGCAGGGTTGTTTTCGCCCTGTCCCTTTCTCCTTTTGTCTGCTACCTCCGACCATCCTGTCGCTCTACCGGGCCCGTCTCGACGAACCAACTCGCATTAATTGCCGAGAGTCACGACATGTCTCCATTACTCAAGAGCTTCGTTAAAGGAAGGCAAAGGGGATAAGAGAGCGCCGCGAGGATAAGGGACGAGGAAGATAAAGGAGGTTGCAACCATGTTTCACCATTATTTTTCACAAATTGGGCTCGCGTCGCCGTTATCCTTAACGAGAATTGAACTGGTCCCCATTGTTCAATGAAATGAAAAAACGAGGTCTTTTTTTTTCTGTTTATCGTCTTCGCGAATTTCGTCCGGTTATTAGATCCTTCTGTTACACATCTCCACGCTATTTTTCATTTTCAGATCTTAATTTATATATCGCGTACGATGTCGATCATCATAAAATGTATAGAAGCCGAATGGACTGTACCCTACAGTTTCCACTAATTAATCAGAAATTTCCTGCCGACACCGCCGACCGACCGATGCTAACTAATAGACCTGCTCCGAATCTCCCTGCCAATTATCTCACCGTGTACTAATTAGCATATATGACCGTTGTAACAAAGTTTCCCGCCTCCGACAATGCCGCCTATTGTCTTACGGAAACTTACTTAGCTTTAATAATTCGTAAATCTACCTACTGGCTCACGACTGACTTATAATTTGGTGTTTCGAAGTCTTGCTTGATTTAGGCAAGATTAGCGTTACACTAGAACCGCTGATGATATCATTTTGGCTCCGCTCTCATCATTTTAACGTTTTCTTTTTTTTTTTGTATTAGATATATAACACGAAATATTGAAACTGTATGTATACAACTGTGTGTATACAATACAAATAATTTTAATAAATGTTACAAAAATAACTTTTCACTAACCGAAAACAGGGATAACAAAATTGTCAATTTTTTTGACATTTTCGACAGTTCTAGTGGAATATCATCGGTGATTCACAATGTGCGTATGTTAAATAAAAAAAATTGCAAATCAAAACCAAATGGACCAGCATTTTTATTATTAGGAAGGATATTGCGGGTGATTTAATATTTAATAAAACAAGCGCGTTCAATATCGAATGCAGGGCAATTTGAATGTAGATTACAGAAAAAGGAAAATATAAAGTGCAAAATTACTCTATTAATTCCAAAGTCGAAAGACTTTGAAAGATTGAGTGTATTAGAGGAGCGGGGCTATATGCGACGGAAAAATTACCGACAAGGTACGGCCTCCTGCGTATGAAACTTTAGCAGTTTATTATAGCCAAAGTGCCGACATAGTTCTCCCGGTAGTGCGAGAGTTTCAAGCAATGGGACGAAATAATCGCGTTTTTACGATACTCGCGCTGAGCTTTACGAGAATCGGAAACCTCGGCGACGCTTTTGTGCGGTAGAACTTGTTCGAATGCCACACGCGTCATAAAATCGACAAAGCCAGTGGTGGCGCGAGTTTTATCATACTACCCGGCATACTTTCTGCGTCTAACGCGAACGAGTTCGTTTCTGTACATTCCAAAACCGGTCGCACACGTTCACGCATAACTGCCACGAAATAACGTGAACACTGAATTAAGTATTTTATTAAAATATTTTATGCTCAATATATATGTCAATTTTTTCCCTTTTCGTATTAGATGTGTAGTAAAAAAATGTTGAAAACTGAAACTGAAATTATGTGAATATAATATAAATAATATCAAAATAACTTTTTGCTAACCGAAAACGGCGGGATAGGAAATCACCAATTTTGACCTTTGATAATTATAGCGGGAGAATTATCATCGGCGATCCCAGTGTTAAATAAAAAAAAAATCAAAACCAAACTAGCATTTTTATTAAAAAAGGATATTGTAGCTTAGTATTTAATAAAATAACAGAAAATGTACAACATTACGGGGTATACATAATAATTATTATAATATAATCCTTTATAACGTAACAATTATATCAAGAAAGGAGAAACGATATCAAAACGAAGAAAATGATTGCAATATATTATACAGCAATTTATCGTAAGGTTTGAAAAACAAGGTTTTGTAAATATGAAAAGATCACGGAAATATATATTCATATTGTAAACAACTTGGTGGCTTTCAGTTTTTCATATGTTTTTTTACCCTTAATTCCCAAGCGACGCGACGCTCGACAGAAAGAGGAGGAACTGGCAGGAAGGGTGCCTCGTAATACCCGCCAGTAGATCGGACTTTACATCCGGCTAATTAAGCATTGATAACTAACGAGGTTCCTTTGTGCCGCGGCCGCCGCGGGAGATGAAAGTCCTCGGAAAATTTCAACCGACACGTCGGATTAAATGCTTTAGCGTGCGTGCTTGTCGAACTCGAGCTTGCAACTCGATGTGAACTACGACTTTAATCCCCGTTGACGTGAATTGCTCGGGGCATGTTCCCGTTGGGTATGGATTTTTTTTTCTCTTTCTGCTGCGAAAGGGTTCATAAGAGCCTGACGTCAGAAGGGCGGAATCGATCGCTCGTTTCCTGCTTTATCATGCGGAGACGATGATTAATTTAACGACTTCCAACAAGCCGGTCCTTTTGAGCACGATGAACGATTGTTTAATTTTGTCAAGGGTACGCGATTGAGGGCACGCACAGAGGGTATAAGTGCCGTAAGCATTTTCCCCTTTTTTTGCGTGTGCTATATGCGCCCGTTAATTGTTAGCCTCAATTAACAAAGAAATGAACCAGATCGAACAAAACTGTAAAACCATATTCTGCTTTTTTGTTGCAGTTTTACCAGCTCCTGGAAGCTAGTCAAGTGGCCAATACTACCCTCACGTACCGTCACGTGACCGTGTTTGCGCCCACTAACCGAGCGTTCCAGAAATACAATGGGAGCACGAAGAATTTGGTTTTGTATCATATGTGTGAGTAGAATGTGTAACATTTATCTTACAAATAGATTTAAGTACAAACAGATTCAGAGATAGTCATCGTCAACTATCTCATTTAAGTGAAGGTGTGCAAAAGTATAAAGATGATGATTTATCACCTCCTAGCAAATTATATATATATATATATATTTGATATTAATATATAACTGCAGATTATATATAAAAACTGTGATTAAATGAAAAGCTGGAAATATACTGTGAGTGTAAAAAATATTCATATACAATGAATTTTTATTTAAAGTCTTATTTCTAGAAAATGAATAATAAATTTTCGCTTATTGTGTGTTAAGATAATATATATTAATTATTACACACTTTTTAGGTAAAATAATTTCAAAAAATATACAATCTATTTTATTCTTTATTAATAAATTGCTAATTAACATCTGTAACATCTAATAAAATTTTTTTAAATATCTGTATAATATACGTATATATTTTTTGCACTGTATTTATAGGGAAAAAAAAAAACAGTTTTGTTAAAATATCTAAAAATTTAATTAGATCTGAAAATAATTTTATATGGGGTCATCCAGAATAATTATACAGGTCACTCAATAATATAATTATGAAATAATTATAAAATAATTGTATAGGACACTTAAACTGGTTACTAGAATGTCAAAACTTTTTGCAGCGTCATTCATTACGTTTAAACGTCCTACATAATTATTTTGATGGTCCGACAAAATTATTTTCAAATCTATCTCTAGCTAAATTTTTAGATATTTCAACAAATCTGTTCCTTTCGTGTAGCGGCATGTTTTGTAAACTGACTTTCAGTAATGTATAACAAAGAGTGAGAGAGGGGGGGGGGGCGGGAGAATTATGGTGAAACGATATTTTAAAATCCAGAAAATACAAATTTGCAAAATCAACAAACTATCGAGAAAATTCCGTTGTCTCCACTATTGTATCATACGGCATTCTCCAGGATAGACCGCGTCAGAGCGACACGGGAAAATTCTCGACACGGCCGTAGAAACTCAATTTCCACTTTTGTTTGGCGGCGACCTCGCCCACCTCTCTTCCGCATCTGCATTATTTCTTTTCTTCGTCCGGTTTTCACGCGCCGGAGTGCATTAACTCCGCCGAGTCGAGTTTCGGTATTTCGCCCTTTGATCTCGACGAGGTGGGAGGGGCGGGCCGGCGCATGCATCCGTAATGCATCCGTCGAGCTGTAAAGCCGCGTCGGATCGGAAGGAGAGCATTCGATATGCGCCGGACGCTTACGTGCTTTCGTAATTCAGAGCTTCTTCGATAGTCGCGAATAATAATGGCGAGCGGCGGCCGGCAATCCGTTATCGACGTATCCGCATTTATGACCGTTCGGCGTCCGTTGGGCATTCATCGATGTAGATCCTGATAGAAAGGGGCGGTACGGAGAGGGGTGGGTGGTGGGATGGAGCGTTATTGCGATTGAGCGTAGCTGACTAATATCGCGCGACGTCAGCGAGCCAATGCGTCAGAATCCCTTCACGTTAATGCATCCTGTTACACTTTATCGTGCAGCAGACGGAAATCGAAGCGAATTCGTGCGGAACAGTCGCATTCTCGCGAAATTGCTTCCGTTCTTGGAAGAATTGGGGAGATAGATTCCTTTAACATTCGTATATTCCGGTGAGACGCCAGAAAAATTCGCGGTGCAGATCCGCGAAAATGCGAGACTTTCATTTAATACCAAGACAATTAAAGGATATCTCATTTGTTCTCTTAACAAAGATCACCTATTAAGAGCTTCTGTGTGTGTAGTGATTACTTCCTTACGGAAAAAAAAGAGAAAAAAATGTTTCGTATGATACAACGGAAAGGACGGTTTTGCTGAAGATTGAAAGATTTAATTAGATACTGAAAATAGTTTTGTTGAATTATCAAAAATAATTATGTACAACGCACAAACTGATTGTGGCGAGAATGTCAAAACTTTTTATAGCATTATTTATTATGCTTGACGTTCCTACGTAATTGTTTCAGGGTTGCCACAAAATTGAAAATCAGGAAAATATCAGGGAATTTTGCAAAATTTGTTGAAAAATTAAAATTCTTGACTTTAAAGAAATTTAATAAATGTACATTAATAATTATCCAATTTTCGAATATTATTAATTTAAAAATTAGAAATGCAAGCGATGTTAGCAATATTAATTAGTAATTTAAATTATTCTCTTAATAAAGTGTTTGACGGCTTTTAAATCGGGATGAAAGTATAATATAAAACAAATGAAAATATAATAAAATACAATAAATTAAAAAATATTTTAAAAGGAAAAAAATCATGAAATTTTGTTCAGAAATCAAGGAAAAATTATGAAATTTTAAGATGAGGAATTTTTGTGACATCCCTGATAAAGAATACCTACAAGAAGCTGAGAAAGGAAAGACTTTATCAGTGACACTTGACTGAAAGAAAACTCATATTTTCTGCGCCATTTCGTTCTATGTCGGTTAAAGTTTACAGAAGGAATTAAATTTTAACAAGCTCGCCACTTGAAGCTTTAAAAATAGGCAAGAGCCATGCCATATCTTTGTTTCATCCGGCTGCGTCGTGGAAGGCGTATCACAAGATCGTCTTTAATCAATGGAGACGCGGCAAACAACCTGCTCAATCAAAATCCTTATTATCCTTAGCGGATTATGGTAAACGCGACGACGGGCCTCGTTAGGCGCACCCTCGCGTTCGTCTCGCCTCGCCTCGTCTCGCCTCATCTTGCCTCGTCGTCTTCGCGTCCGCGTTCGTGTTTGCGATGTCGCGCGGTGTGTAATTTCGACGTGCAATGTTTGCGCTGCCACGCGGCGGGATGGCACGGCGGCGAACGCTTACACGGATAGTCGCATCGGCGCCGCGCCGTGGCACGGCGCCATCGATCTTGACGGAGACCCGAAGGCAAACACATCCCACGTAGGACGCACCG